GCATTGTTGTAACCTCCACAACGTATACTTTCATTTTACCTGCGTTCTGGACAGATCGGTGTTCTCGACACCGAAAATGGAACGACCTAACCTTGAGATCCCCTGAAAATTTGAAGTCTCTAGCACATCTCCTTCTTGTGGCACAGACACACAGACACGAGGTCGTTTGCATAGGCCCGCTGGATAGCTTTTTTAAAGCAGAAAGGCGGGTTAAACAACAACAAACTCTAGCCCCCAGACGGTGCAAGATAGAGTCATAACGGACAAAATTTTGGCCAGAAGACTCTATTTTCGTGAGTTGCCCCTAAGGAGACCATTAAACAAGTTGCCAGTTCCACTTCGCTGCGCCTGCAACTCCGTTCGGCAGGGGCCGGGCCGCAGGAATATGGACCAGATACGGTGACTGAATACCGGTCCCCCACCGCGCCCGCTCCCCCCACCACCTCCGCTGCAGTCGCCACTGCGATTGGCGCGTCCTTTTTTGCTTCCTTCCTCCTCTTCTTCCTTCCACCCCTCCCTTCGTGCGCTGTGCGCTGCGCTCCTCCGCGCCAAGCAAGCGGTGCGCTTCAGCAGCTCCAGCCACTAGCATGGCCTATCTAAGGGAGGAAGCGCACCCATCCGTTCTTACATGTCAAGACTGACAGCACTGGTCCGTCGATTGCCTACCTTTCAGGCGGGTCATTACAATTCATAGTGAGCTTCTTCAAATCAGTTAACACCTTTTCACGTTGAGTCCCATTGCGGCTTATCGTGCCCATACGTGAGGTCACGTGGGACTCAACGTGCTAAAACAGGGAATAGAAACAGATTTATGGGGCCACAGCAAGGGCTCTTCGAGGCACTCATTGTGCCAGAGGTGCAGGGTGGTGAAGCGCCAGAGGTGCAGGGTGGTGAAGCACCAGGGGTGCAGTAGAGAGTGGCGCGGGGTGGGGGGTGAGTGTGGGGAGGCAGAGAGAGGTGGGCCCCAACTGATCCGCGAGCAGGCGGACACCATGCGCGAGCAGAAGGAGCGGCTCGCGGCTCTGTGCATCGGGGCGAAAGCTAGTGAGGATCCTGAGGACCACTATTAGAGCCTCAAGGAACTCAATAGTGCAGTTATTAAAACCGAACCGGTGCCCCCGGGAGAAAAAGAAAACTGATGTTAACTGAAGTTACCTGATTATTACTGATTTTAACTGATCTAGCTGTAAGTTAGCTGCCATAACTGACTTAACATGAACAAAAGCTGATCCTTGATAACTCTTTTTAGAATCGAAACTGAAGTTAGCTGACTAGAAAATTCAGTTTTAGTTAGCTCTAATCATCTTTCCGTCAGTTCAATTGATGGTTGCAATTTAGCTGACAACTAGCTGACATCGTCGGCTTCAGGT